AGGATTGTTGTAGCTGGTATGTCAGCAACCTGTAGTCAGAAGATTCATAATCAGTTGGTACATGGATACTTTAATGGTTTCTTTTCTGTTGGAAGTATGTAGTTACGAATTTCTCTGTTCAAAAAGTAGACTTATGTGATAACTGGTCACGAGCTGGTAACATTGCATTATTTAAACTCAGTTCTTAATAGATTATCTTTGAAAAACTGAATGGAGAAGATAAGAATTCTATTGGATATTGTGTTTTACGTACAGTATTGTATGTCTTGCAGGTTGGGGTAGAGAACATGCATAAAGACACTAAGTATGTCTTTTTTCTGGATGATGATGTTAGGCTGCATCCTGGGTCGATAGGAGCCCTCACTGCTGAAATGGAGAAAAATCCCGATGTATGCTGATATAAAAACCATTGTTGTAACAGTTTTCTAGTCATTTTTAGCACTTCAACCTGATTGACGAGGCTCATTCTTTTATTTATTTTTGTTTGGCAAAATCGCTTACTTTTTTCTGGCAAAAACATGCAGATATTTATTCAAACTGGATACCCTCTTGATTTACCATCTGGAAGTCTGGGAAGTTACTGCATATATGAGTATCACATGGTAAAAGTTTATCCTGCATTTGGTATCCTTTTGTTCTATCACCTATGCAATATATGTTTGACAATCGTTAATCCTGAGTGTTCACATGAGCAAGCACAAGTTTGCGGTGCATTGATTTTATATGGATGAAGACGAAGATCATGTTGTAAACATAGAGATTTTGCAGTAGGTCGACGAATAATACATTTTGTTGGTTTTTATTTTTTATTTTTTTTTATTAGCTATGAACTACATGTGTGGATAGATCAAAAGATAAAGCTGAATAAGCTCTGGTCTTTTCTTTTCATTCCATGTGTTGTGACTTGTGATGACCAAAGAGTTTTGGTTTCATCTTTTAAGCATTGTCTAATTCTGCTGTTAATCTGGTGATTGTTTAAAAAAAAAGGAGCTCGGGGCACTGTTTAATGCATTTTGGAACTGGACTTCTTGATAAAAGGGGGATTCATTTCATGAAATTAATTTTCATAGCGCGCATCAAGTCATCTTCACAATTCACGATGCAACTTGGAACACTAATTGTTGATTAAATTAAACAAGAGTACCTAAATATAATTTTCTTCATGAAAAATTAATGGAGAAAATTAATTGAATTTATTGATTTGCAACTTGGTGGAACATGAACTTAGAAAAATATGTTAGCGAAGGAGGGAGAGAAAATATAAGAGCGTTCTTGCCTATTTATTTCCTTCGTCAACCACATTGGTCACTCACTTCTATAAGTTTGTACTGGGATTAATCTACTGCATGTCTTATTTTCCTATTTCTCAATTATTGTCAAGGAGCAACTGGATTTTGTTGCATTTATATGATTATACTAGTATCTCAAGTGTTTTACAATCATCTCAAAATGTAATGGTAAATTGATATTATTTAACATATACCTAATTGGTTTCATTTGTTATGGTATGTATTGTATAATTCCTCACACAATAATTTTCTTCATGGTGCAAACCTAACAGTTCATATCTATTTACAGCCTTGTTCAATGGGGTTTGCAACTGGCGGAAAAACATTCTTTTTATGGGGAGGATGCATGATGGTAAATTCTGTACGCATATTCAGAATCAGATAATTATTATATGTTTCAGGAATCTTAATTTTGAATTTTCTCATTACAGATGCATGCAGATGATTTTAGAAATGACCGCCATGGTGTTGTTTCAGAGCTTCGAGATGGAGGCTACTCAGATGACATGACTCTTGCAGCTATTGCTGGTATTATGTTTGCAGTACTTCTGCTTAAGTGAATATCCTCCAACTACTGGGTGTACTAAATTATTGCCTTTTTTCTTTTGCATGACAAAATGTCCAGTTCTAAATTTGGTTTTCTATTTTGTGTTATATAGATAGCTAAATTATGTGCACTAGATGCTAATACTTGTCTTCCTTTCAGGGGCTCATAAGAGGCTAATTACATCTCCACCTGTTGCTGTTTTCCCACATCCTCTTGCCACTGATCTTAACTTTGGAAGGTCTGTATTTATAACTAAAACTCTCGATCCAGAATCATCAGTTATGTGCTGCTGGTTGGTCCTTTGTACCTAATCTTATTTCTTTCGCTCTATTGGTGTAGGTACTGGAATTATTTGAGGAAGCAAACATTTGTTTTAGAGTCATATACAACACAAGTCAACTGGATTATGAACCGTGCATTATTTTCTGTACATTGCTACTTTTCTTGGGGATTTGTAATGCCATATATTATGGCTGGGATACATGTAGCAGCAGCACTAAAGTTTTATTCTAAAGGGAACTCTCTGGGTGAAACAGAGTTTCCAGCATGTGGTGAGCACTTCGCTACTTGGTAAATTAGGTTGTTTAGGGTGTGAAGAACTTAGTGAGCTCGGGACGGGAACATTAGCTGTATGGTTGATAAATCTAAAGACCTTCACTTTCTTTACACTGATTCACATTTTTTACGCATTTTTCGTGTCTTGGAATTTGGAAGCGTCTGTCTATCAATTAATGATTAAACAGGAAAAATTATTTTCGTGATTACTATGAATTGCTCATGTAGACGTGTAATCATTTGAAATGACCTAATAACATAGAATTCGACGTGTGAGCATGTCAAGGACTGTTTACCAACTTTTTGTCACGAATAATTATTACGCTCATAAGGCATTAGAGGCTGAAGCATAAAGCATGAATCTTATATTTTGAGTTGGACTTAATTTATCTTTTAAGGAGTACTGCTCTTGGATTTCTAATCCTCTATCACTAACTTCTCTTGTTTGGCCAGGGTTGAAATTGGTTGGCTGCCTTGTTGTATGTACTATCATTGAACTTCTTTCCATGTGGAATCTGACAAGAATAGAGGTGAAGTTATGCAATTTATTGTCTCCCGAGGCACCTCCATTATCACTTGCATCCTATAACTGGTGTCTTGTAAGTTCACCTCTACTTTTCTCCTGAAGTCAACCATTTTATCTTTTGCATAATTTTAGACCTACCAACCTTTAATATGGAAGATTAAACAGTAGAAGACATTATTTTATTCAGATTATAGTACTATCTTGTTAGCCAATAGCCAGTAATCCTCTATTGTAAGATAGCCATGACGTGTTAATATTTCTCAATAATGTTTTCCATCTCAAGGTAAAATTTTGTGTTAATGTCATGAACTTTTGAAAATGGGATTTAAAATAGCTAATTAGCTATAGAACACAAAAATGGGATACATGTCTCTTGCCTTTGTCCAAGTTTTGGGCATGCAACCTTCAATTAAATGCATTTAGAAAAATTCATACATGAAATAAAGTCATTAGTAGCACAACCACCATGCTTCTCTCATTAGTTAACACATGCTGAGATAATGATATAATTATTCGTTGTTACTGATATAGGTCTTAATTTTTATTTGAGCAGGTATTTATTGCGATGCTGGTTGATAATTTTTTGTACCCCATATCAGCAGTACGGTCACATTTTTCTCAGTCTATCAATTGGTCTGGCATCCGATATCATTTGAAGAATGGGAAAATAAACAAGGTATGTTTATTTTGAGGCGATTTAGTTAGTCTTAAAATCACCACATTTGGTGAATTTATTCATTTGTGTAAAGTATCACTTATGTGCATGGAAGTATTCCTACTCTCTTACTTGGGCTCAATAAGCGGAGAAAACTAAATAAATACACTTCATAAATACCAGTCCACAACTGTGTTTCTGCTTCTCTCATTCACTTATTTTTTTTCATAACACTAAACATGTTGCAAAATTGTAATCACAGATCTTACTCTGGCTTCAAATGATCAATTCCTTCTAGTAATATATGAATACTTGTGTTTCCTAAAACGAAAAATGTCGAAGGATTTGAACAAAAAACTTTTCCAACATTGATTATGATGAATGCTGGAGAATGGCATGCTCATAGTGAAAACTGCCATCCCAGAGAGACTTGCAGAAAATTTAGTGGAAATTTCAACTATTGAAAATACAAAAAGACCCTTTAAAATCAAAATTCTTTCAAAAATTTCATTTAGAAAATATAAAATTTAACATATGTAAAATGCACATTCGTCGTTTATTCTGCAGATTGAGAGAAACAAAGAGAAGGGCCCTAAGTTCACAGATTTGGGAGGAAAGCATTTATATGGTAAAAAAGGAGCTCAAAACAGTGCTTCTTTTCTTTCATCTTTGTCCAGAAGTCTGGCTTATTGGAGGCAACCCAAGAAATATGATTTATAGACACAAAATGGGGGCCTTTAGTTACAATAGCTTGTGATTCTTTTGTCTTTCATGATTTCTATTTATAGCGAAACGACGCCAGGAGGAAAATTTTCCGGAATTAATCATCATATTACCTCGTTTATTCAAAGTGAAAGACCCATCATTGATGAATTTAAGTGGTAGGATTTTGGCAATTTTTTCAATTATTGATTCTTGAGTGGATTGGTATATCCCTTTATAGGCTTGTGTGATAGTAGTGATATCATTTTGTAACTTCATGACATTATTTGTACTCAACAATACTACAGTGCTATCGAATAGCTTATCAAAAGATGTATTTTTGTTTTTGAATTTATTGTAATTCTGTATAATTCCTATTGCAAATATTATAATTTATTAAGACTATAGTACTTGAGTCCCTGGCAGAATTCCGAAGTAATTCAGAAGTATCTACCGAGTGATCCTGATAATCTTGAAGCAGGCTTGATCTCCTGTTCGTCACGATAAAAACTTTTTACTACTGACATGTTAAGAGAACTTGTTTCAAGGAGTTTTTATTTTGTCCACTAAGGATAAGAGATAAGTTCTAAATCTTGAAGTTCTCTTCACAATGTTAAAACATGTTCTATTGCAGCTAAAGCTTTTAAATGAGATAATTTCGAGTCTTCGAGGTCAAGCATCATTTATTCATAAAAATTGTGCACATCAGACATTTTATTAAAAAAAAAAAACGAAACCAAATTTTAATATATAATAAATGTATTCTGTCTCCAACAAACTCAGCTTTTAGATTAGATATTAAAAAAACTGAAAATGAAAAATGTATTCTCTACCGGTTCAAAGCATGCAGATAAATCCTCAAGAATTACCAGCTTCTTAGAGTTCATACAAGACAAGTAAATGAAGTCACAATTTACTTTTCTAGATCTCCAATGTAAAAGTCCTCGATCATGTCGAACACTCGGGTAGCGTGCTGTGGCCTGTCACAACAGATGTAAAGTCGAATGTTATCTAAATTAAAGATGACTATGCAAGAGAACATTGTAAAGTCGAATGTTATCTAAATTAAAGAAGACTGCGCAAGAGAACATTACCAATTGCAAGTTTGTTAGGCAATGCCAAATTTTAATATGATTTGAAGGGTTATACAGACTAAGCAGTCCCTAATTTGTAGCAAAATGTCATGTTGAACGGTTCTTCATTTTGTTTCTAGTTGCATTGAACTTATTAGCTAAAATATGAACAACCAATCAAGTTTACTAACCAATATGAAATTTCGCTAAAAGTTTGGCCACCACCAGTATATTTAACCCATGAATAAAAACAAGAAACCGAAAAGTTTGAAGCCGTAAAATGATTCTTATGGCATATAGAATTTTGCCCTTAGAAAACAGTACCAAGGAAATCGGTTCCAGTACCAAGACCTACCCATAGAAACCTTCGGTTGAATCATCACCAGCATGTGCTAGGATAGCATCACCGCCAGGGTGTTCTTCGACATATGAGGAAACATCATAAACCTATGGTTGTTTTAAAGCAGAAAAAAAAAGGATAATGTAGTTAGAAAGTTGATGAAAAGGCAATCACAATGGTCAATTCACATAGTATACCATGTATTTGTTTTTCAAGTAAAAGTAATGCTATAATGTGGAATGTACAAAAACCTTGTCTTTAATGATGATCCAACAGTCAGTCCTCTTGTTATGGGATGAAACTTCAGCTTTGGTGTACGCTTTTGCTGCCTAAAAGAGAAACACTAATCAGTAGAATATGAATAAGTAGCATGCAACAGTTCTTGTTGACTCTAGCTAATGGCAAAGAACATAAGACAACCCTCCTGCCCCATTAGGATATAAAAGATCCATGTAAAAGACTTTGTTTACAAGCAGGCCTAACAGCTGTGAATTTTAACTTTTGAAAGGCCAACTCCAAATGGTTTGCATTGTGTAAACACCAATCAATTAGTGCATATTTGGTACACATTAACTAGATTATACTACAATATACAAAATTTAGCTCTTTTTGATGATAGAATCGCAAAACAAAGAGAAGGAAAATACATTCTTCCATAGTTAATGTTGCCATTAGGTGGTAGAATCACAAAGCAAATATAAAGGGTCAAGTTTATGCCCCCTCCCATCTTTTCTTGCTAGTTCCATATATATATGGTTGGGACATCCTAACCTCAATCCTCCTTTAATGGAGTCTAAAAATACACTGAAGATGTGTTGATAATTTGCCTTTAAAAAGTCACAAATGACAAAGTTTGGCTGAATGATTTCCCATTTGGGGTTCATTACATTAAATAGATGAATATTACAGACATACATGGTAATATGGTACAATTTTAGGTAAACTGAAATTTCTACCTAAAATACAACACACATATAAATATGGTAATAAACCCGTGATCTTTGTGATTATGATTATCTCATTGACATCCCCTCTCAAATTGATGTTGGATGATCATGAAGCGTCAATTTGCTGACAAGGAATTGATGACGTTGTCGAGTCATGACCTTGGTATACACATCAGCGATTTGAACATCAGTGGTGATATGTGAAAGGGAAATAATGTGACCATCATAAGTCTCACGAATAGAATGACAATCCACCTCAATGTGTTTAGTACACTCATGAAACATAAGATAAGCAGCAATTTGAATAGTGCTAGTGTTATCAGCATGAAGGGGAGTGGGCGTAAGCTAAGGACAACCAAGCTCTACTAGAAGACCTTGCAGCCAAACAATCTCAGAACAGGCAGAAGACATAATCCGATACTCAGATTCAATGGAAGATTTAGAGACACGATCCTGTTTCTTGCTGTGCCATGAAATTAGTGCATCCCCAAGAAACATGCACCAACCTGTAATCGAGCGACAAGTATCCGCGCATCCAGCTCAATCCGCATCACTATATCCTCTTAACTCAATAGAGGAATTTGTAGAAAATAAAAGGCCTCTATTGGGTGTACCAAGCAAGTATCGAATGATGCGACGAACCGCAGTCAGATGAAGGTGTCGTGGAGCATGCATAAATTGATAAACCTGTTGCACGACAAAAGAGATATCTAGTTTAGTAATAGTGAGATAATTCAAACTACCAACCAACTGGCGATACAAAGAAGGATCAGGAAGGATATCACCTTCATCCTTATGGTACTTCACATTCACTTCCAAAGGAGTATCAACCGATCGACCATCCCGAAGTCCAGCTAAAGTAATCAATTCTTCCAAATACTTGTGCTGATGCAAATAAGTTCCGATTGGACTTGAAACCACCTCAAGACCTAAGAAATATTGCAAGGGGCCCAAATCTTTCATATGAAAAGAATCCTTCAGTTGATTTTGTAGTTGAGATATCAAGCCAGAGTCAGTTCCTGTAATAACAATATCATCAACATAGACCAAAATAAGCAGAGTCCCCGCTTTGGTGACAAAGATGAAGATAGACGAATTGTATTTGCTCTGAGTAAATGAGAAACCCAAAAGAGTAGAATGAAATTTGTCAAACCAAGCACGAGGAGTCTGCTTCAACCCATAAAGGGAACGCTTTAGTTTACACACATTGGAAGATGGCAACGAAAAGAGACCCGCAGGAGGTGTCATATAAATATCTTCCTTGAGGTCACCATGCAAAAAAAGCATTCTTAACATCCATCTGTCGCAAAGACCAACCCTTGGAGGCAGCTATAGCTTGAATAATTCGAATCGTCGTCATTTTGGCAACAGGAGCAAAGGTCTCCTCATAATCCACCCCATATTCTTGACGATTTCCAAGAGCTACTAATCGAGCTTTATAACGTTCTAGAGATCCATCAGATCAGAGCTTAACAGAATATACCCATTTGCACCCAATGGGTTGAATACCAAAAGGGCAAGGAACAATATCCCATGTGTGATTCTCCTGAAGAGCTTGAAGTTTCTCTTGCATAGCTTTCTCCCAACAGGATTGACTAGCAGCCTCAGAATAAGAAGTAGGAACTGTAAAATTAGATAAGGTTGCAGAGAAGCCATACTGAGCAGGAGGATGTGTAACACGAGTGGATTGTCGAAGACTAGTAGATTCTGAGATTGGATCAGGATTGGGATCGGGAACGAGAAGGGGTAGTCAATCTGGAGGCTATAGTCGTTGATATATCATACCAGGTTTAAAATGCTCTACAGAACCAGAGTCATTCTCAAAGCTAATAAGTGGAGCCAAATCAAGAGATGAAGCAACATGTTGAAAGTAATACTGATTCTCAAAAAAGACCACATTGTGAGATATACGAAAATGATTAGCAACACCATCATAATAGAGGAAGCCTTTCTGAGCAATGTTGTAACCCATGAAAGCACATTGTACGGATTGAGCACTAAGCTTATGACGTTCATGAGGAGGTAAATGAACAAAACAAACACAACCAAATGTGTGGAACATATCATAGCCAGGATGTGTACCGTACATGCGAAAATAAGGTGATTCAAAAAACAAATGCTAAGCAGGAAGTCGATTAATCAGATAAACAGCTGTAAAAAGGGCTTTGACCCAAAATTTGGATGGAACCGAAGATTCCAAAAGTAAAACTCTGACGACATCTAATTGGTGACAATTCTTTCTTTCTGCTACTCCATTCTGCTGAGGTGTATATGGACAAGAGCGTTGAGATAGAATACCTTTTTGTTGAAAAGATGATTGAAACTGATGAGACATATTCCCCACCGTTGTCAGACCTCAATATACGAATACTGGAGGAGAATTGTGTCTCAATGTAAGCTATAAAGGATTGAAGAATGGTACCGACTTCGCTTTTCGAGCGCAGAAAATATATCCAAGTGTAACGACTGAAATCATCAATAAGTGTCACAAAGTACTTATAATGGGCATGAGAAATCATAGGTGCGACGCCCCAAACATCACTATGTATAATCTCAAAGCATTTATCAGCACGATTCCCATGAGAAGGAAAAGAAAGAGTCTTACTTTTTCCAAGCTTACAAGTATTACAATCGAAAGACAAATTGGAAAATTGAAACTTATATTTATTACCCAAAGAACCACACTTCAACAAATGAGGCAAAATTAAAGTATTGTGATGACCCAATCGTTTATGCCAAATTTCATGATGAAATCTATCACTAATACAAGCCAAAGACATAGCAGGAGGAATAGTAAACTATAGTGGAAACAATCTTCTGACTTTAGGCCCCTTCGCGATCACCTTTCCCAATCCCTGATCCTGCACAAGACAACCAGCACGAGAAAAACAAACATCACAGTTATTATCAACTAATTGACCAACCGAAATCAAGTTTGTAGATAATCCCGGAGATACAAAAACATTATCGAAAGAAGGTCCAATATCACCAATAGCGGTAATGGGAAGAGTACTGCCATTAGCAATCTGAATATGTTGTGTGCTAGTATATTGTCGAATGTTATGCAAAGAATCAGAACTACCTGTCATATGATTTGATGCCCCTCAATCAACAAACCAAGGAGAAGAAGCAATTTTACCCTTACCTTGTAAGCCCAAAGCAGAGAAGGCAGAAACAATCATTCGTTGAACCATTTCTGGGGTAAGAACAGGTTGGCTGGTGCTAGCTAGTGAAGACGTCGAATCAGTACCTTGTGTAACGACGTGAAATGCGTGGGACAGTCTTTGAAGATGTGCCCCAGTTGTTTACATTAACTACAAATTTTTTGAGGACAATTACGAGCAATATGCCCGTATCCTTTGCAGCGAAAACATTGTAGTTTACCCGTCCCTCGTCCTTGGGCAGCATATGCAATGGTGGCCACATTAGTTGAGGAAAAATCAGTTCCAATGGCGGTTTAGGTTGCCAATCGTTGTTCCTCACATAAAAGTTCACCCAAACATACATCCAAAGAAGGAACTGGATCATGATTTAATAAACCAGCTCGGACCACTTCAAATTCGGATCGTAATTTCATAAAAAACTGATCCCTCTTGCTAACCTCTTGGGCATCTCGTAGTGCTGATAAGGCCTTCGTAGGAACCTTAGCATGAATTATTCCGGAGTACTCGCTCCATAAGTTCAGGAAACCAAAATAATATTGTTCGATAGTAAGATTACCTTGAGATAGTTAGCAATTTCTAACTCCAGCCGAAAATGTCGTGCATTATTGTCTTGACAATAAATTCGCTTCAAGTATTCCCACATCTCTTTTGCCGTAGTGAAACAGCGTAAATTATTTACCATGTGAGACTCCATGGATCCCAAAATCCAAGAAATAATACGAGCATCATTTGTTTCCCATGCAATAAGATCCTTAGTATCTTCAGGTGCCTTAGAAGACCCATCAATATGACCCCAAAGTTCCTTTCCTTTCAAAAACATCCTAAATTGAAATTCCCATGTTGAATAATATTTCCCAGTAAACTTAACGCAGAAGGCGTCAACCGACATAACTTTTTAATATAAAATACAAAATATAATCCAAACAAATGCAGTCCTGAAACAGTTTGCAGCCCAATTAGTTGTAACCCAAGGTCAGCCCACAACAAAAGGATTGCAAGTCCAACAAACACAGCCCACCTGTTAAAACACACGGGTCCACACTTGAGGCCCAAACCACCACCGAAGCTATGAACTCTAGAGAAGCTCCAACACCGGACGTTCGATTCCACACAATTCGCATCAGCCAGCAAAGAAATGTTCGAAGTCTTGTCGAGCCCACACACAGGATGCTGAAATCCTGTCGAATACACACAAAGAGACATCGGAAAAAGGAACCCCGTTGCTCACCCAAGAGACGCCGAGAGTCACGTCGATCACAGGCCGGAGATCACCCACAGCGACGCTGGAGAGTCTCTCCAATCACGCAGAACCGAATTATGCTAAAATAGTGACTTCAACCGGAGATTTATCGCCCTAGAAGTCTGCAAGATGCCACCGGAAAATCTATTGACCAAATTGTCGATCCCTAATTTCATCTATAGGTATGACTCTGATACCATGACAAAGTTTGGCTGAACGATTTTCCTGTTTGAGGTTCATTACATTATATAGATGAATATTATAGACATACATGGTAATATGGTACAATTTTAAGTAAACTAAAATTTCTACCTAAAATACAACACACGCATATAAATATGGTAATAAACCCGTGATCTTTGTGATTATGATTATCTCATTGACAACAAATAATTGTTTGGAATATCCTCAATACCACATAGGTTGCTTGAAATAATTTGTACAGATGTTTTAGGCCCTGTCCTATAATATCATATGACAACTCTTGCTAGTATGTTGCTTTTATAGATTGTTTACATAGTACACATGGTTTCACTCTATCAAACAAAAATCTGAGGGAGCAATTGTTTCTCAACACTATAAGAGAATAGAATTTCAAACTGTAAAATCTTTTGGTGGGATGAATACCAAAGTCTAAGTCATGTTTTACTAAACTTTGGGATTCAACATCTTAAATCACTTCATAAACTTCCAAACATGATTCCGCCGAAAGAAAACATTGTCACATGATCGAAACTGGGGCTCACTCTCTTACACCAAGCTTCTGTGCCTATAAAATTTTACAGACATTTGTCTTTCAAACGATAACATATTTTATTAACCATGTACTAACATCCCCACTTTGGTTTGACAGCCTATATGGTGAACTCATACAAAAATATCCAAACCTGCCAAAATTCAGAGTCTTTGGATACTTATGCTATCTGTCACTATGGCCATACAACTCTCATAAACTTGAACCACGTTCTCGACCCTGTATATTTCTCGGTAATTCCCTTGTTCGCGATACATATCATGCTATAATCCGATGCTATAATCCAGAGTTACATAATATCTTTACATCTCAACATGTAGTATTCAAAGAAAATGAGTTACAATTTCTCAAGCTCAATTCCACCATCCCACATGTCACCACTAATCTGTGTGAAAAAATGGCACGAAGTTTTCTCCAGGATTACAGTAGACTATTCAAAATATACATCATGAATCACCAGCTCACCTCAATAACTACTCTAATCTGTCGCCCGTTTTGCCGAGTCAAATCTTACGAAGAAATTCTTCCACATGTTATAAGTCTAGGCACATGGCAAGGTTGGCAGGCAAGGAAAAGGATGTTCTTTTGAAAGCTGTAGCTCAAGCTATTCTTACATGTATATGCAATGATTGTTTTAGATAATGTCTAATCCAACTTAGTGAACATTTGTAATACTCAACTTGGAAAAGTCTCATGCCACTGCCGCAACATTTCATGAATATTTTAAGGTGATTAAACCAATTTCTGCGTTAAAGTAACTAAAATGAACCAAACAAAATTGCTTTGGATGTAAACCTGCCATATATGGGCTTTCTTCTCAAAAATAATTATAAAAAACTACTGTAAAATATTTTTCTTCAGTCCCTGAAGAATTTGATATATTTTATGGAATGTGAAACAATTTATGACAAGCAATCCTACATTTCTGGCTTATAATTCATGCAGACATATAAAAAACACAGAGTTAAATCCTGTAATTTTTCCTGAAAATCATTAGAATCTTTATAAACAGAAAAGCACCTTTGTCGTGACATTAGCCCTCCCCTTTTCACCAAGATCTGCATTATAAACAATTCATTTATTAAAATCAATTGCATTTCAACAAATTCACAATCACAAATCAAAAGAGAAAACTCGGTAATGAAGAAAACTAACCAGTTTTGCGTAGGCGGGGGATTAAAATAAACAGACCCAACACACCCAGCAATAATGTAACCATAAGTACATCCATATTTCACTCTTTAGCTTTATCTGCTCAGATATTCGAACAAAAAAGAAGAAATCTTGGTTAAGAAAGTAAAATATAGCAATCCAAATAGCACAATGAATACACAAACAGCAAGATGAAGACGCATAAGTGACTCGGATCAGTTTGCGAGAATGAAATCATTTCATCAAAATAGAATAAAATGCGTTCAGTGAGTGTGTGTGCGCGTAAAAGGAGAGAAAGAGAGAAGGAATTGAAGTGGATTGACCTGAAGTAAATAAGCGTAAAAGTTGTGCGTTCGCTGAATCTTGATTTTCCGGCGATATTTTTTGAATTGAATTTGAGATGTTTTGAGCACGTGAAATAGAATAAAGATGAATTTATGTAAATGACAGATGAAAGGGTGCACTGCTTTTATCAACACTTCTATGTAAATTTTTATTGGATTCTTCTTGAACCATTTTAAAGGGATTCTCTATTTATAAATAAAATTTTATAATAACTTTAAATTTAGGAAAAATATATTTTTTAGTAGCGTATTGACGAAAAATATGTGATTAAAAAATAAGAAAAAATTTTGAATTTACATGTAATATTATTTTATTAAAAAATGTGTGATAAAATAATATCAAAAAACTATATAAGAATGTATTTTGTTTAAAGAATAAAACTCAAACAAGGGCTTAGTCTCTATATGAACTCTATTTTATCCAAAATATATTTTTTTCTCTTATTTTTTCAATCGCATATTTTTTAATAAAATAATATTACATTTAAATTCAAAATATTTTTTTTAATCACATATTCTTAAGGATGGAAATCGGGCTAGTCGGCTCGAACCGTTCGTGGTTCGACCAGAAAAAAGCCCAAGGCTCGATAGAACTGAGCCAAGGCTAGGGCCGAGCCCCGTTTTGAAGTGCCAGGTCGAGCTCGAGTTGGCCCGTGTGACTGTTCGGCTCAGGCTCACGGGCTTATAATAATAATAATAATAATAAATTTAAAGGCAGCGTGTACATCGCCTTAAACAAGCATTTAAGGCAGCAGCCTGCTGCATTAATTTAAAAAAAAAATCAAAACCAAAATCGAGCTTCCCCGGTTCAGCTTGAGATCGTAAAAAGCCTTGGATCATTTTACTCGAGTCGAGCTAAAACCTCGAGTTTTAACTCGCGAGCCGACTCGACTCGACTTGACTCGTTGAGAGCACTACACATTCTTCAAAAATAAGATTGTTCCGCTACTATGATGGACAAAGAACAATCTATCACATCTGCAATGCCTTTGGTTGTTTTTTGACTTTTTATTTTCCTCCCTACACCCGCCCCCACGCTTTTAACATTTTACCCACCCAAAGAACCCTGCCCTGCCTTTATCACCCACTCTTCGTACATAAACGTTTTTTCTTGTTTTTTGTCTCAATCTTAGGGATTATTATGAAATGCTATACAAAATTGAAATATTTCGTTCTTGATACCATTTCAACATATTTACAACCTAGTTTCTAGCAACGTTAACGGTGAACAAAATGGTCAATCGTAGGAAAAGTTATGAGGCGTCAAAATATACCATTCCAAACCAGTATTTCCAGAATTTTAATTCGCATTATTTGCAAAGATATAGTTGGGTCTTAGGTAAAAATTGAATTTATCTATCTCGAGTGACAAAGTTATGGGAGGGATCAAATAGGTAAATAATTTGTGGATTTGGGATTTTAGTGCCCTTTGTGATATGATTAATTCCAAGAATTTGCATGCTTATTTTTAAATTGTTATGAACACACTTATCAAGTTCAAATTACGATTAATTCCAAAAATTAAGTACAAATTCACTCAATTTATATTTATATATCAAGTTTATAAGCACAAATAAATGTATAAATATATACTTATCAATGTCACACACACATATCAAACTAAGGCTTTAACTTATCCAAATTATAGCATGCTTCTAATAAGCTTTACAGCCTCAAATCTTAACACGAGAAACATTAGACTCTGTTGTATCCATAGCTCATATGGAATTTTTCAACCAAATTGGATAGTGTTGAGAATCTACTTATACATGTACAGCGAAAAATTAAATTTATTTCGATTTCCACCGAGGATCCTTTTGTGTTTAGATAGAAATCGTGATAAAGATTGTACTTTTGAAGAATTTTGCAAACCTTTTGCTTTTCTTTTCGTTCCAGCAATCTTGATTCGCCACCCACAGCTGTCCAATTGTCCAGCCTCCAACGGTGATCCACACAGAGAACAAGATTGCAGTTACCAAGGTTTTCTCCTCTTGTGCTAGCAAGAAATTATAAGAAAAATCATATGGATTCAAAACCCTAGCCATGTATTTATATAAACCCAAACGGGTCTGGCCTGATCCGGTCTAATATTTAATTAATCCCTTTAATTAAATTCGGTCCGTGAATTAATTAATTTAATTAATTAATTAATTCAGGCCTATAAATAACCAACCCAATTAATTAATTTATCCAATGATTGTTAAATCAATTAATTAATAAATTGCAATCTTCCAATTCTCTTTTATGTGCGACCCATCAAGTTTTCGATCACGATACCTAACGACGTAAAATATCATTTTGATATAATCAAAATTGATAAATTAAAACAGCATTTTAATTTATCATCAATTCACACTCGCCGTCCCAAATTGACATCTAGCAATGTGTCAGGGCAATACATGTGACGGAAAATGTCACGTGGTATGACAAAATCAAACTCGTTCGTTTACCGTGAAACTATAATCCCTTCGTCAATACTATCTGATCAATTACGAGATATGAAAGTGTGTCAATCTCGATTAACGATCATATCTTTTACTCCACTATTAAGTCAATATAAGTTGAAAACTCTTTTTCGACTTATGAGTACACCTTAGCCAAGGATTTCATCATCGATTTAATTAAATGAAACGCAGATCATAATCTCTTACTATCTAAGAGTGATGAATCTTTTATTGATCAATAACAACCTTCATACGATTCTTGATGTACCAGGACGATGTCGTAATAGCGGCCCTTTGCAGAGCAACATTCAACACCGCCAAATTATGACTGTCCTCATATAAGGCACCATGATGACCTCAAATCAAAGGATCAATTCCACTACCGAACGTTAGAGATTAACCACTGACGCTCAGATAGTTATCCATGTGGAATCTCTCGGCGGGTCTCCAATGTTTTGTTCTATAACAAAACATCCACGTGTTCATTTAAGTGTCATCACACTTTAGCTTGTGAGATCAGCTACTTTCTTCACAAGTAAGAAATGTCACACGTGATGGTCTATCCGTAATAACGATATCCGTATCTCGTTATTACTTACGACCACAGAAGATTTAAGATTCAATCAGATGTAATTTGTATCTCACAATTACAATTCCTTGTGATTAACAAATTTCGAAGATTTGAATTTACGGACTCTATTATTTATTTAATTGTCTATTAATTAAATAATAGATCTGCTATTAAATTGCATTAATTATATATCAAAAGTATTTATGTCCAAAGTTGATTGGACCTAGGACATAATACTTACAAACTCCCACTTGCACTAGATCCAATCACTTATGTATCCAATAGCATAAGTCTACACGACGATCATGTTTGTGCTACGACAACTCTTTGTTAGTGGATCTGCAATATTGTTAAATGTGGGAATTTGTTCTTTTCTTTACACCATTTCTATGCATTATCTCTCTGATGAGATTATACCGTCTTAATACATATTTGAATCATTAATGAGACCTTAGTTCCTTTGCTTTCGCAATGGCTCTATTGTTATCACAATACAATGGCATGTGATTAACAATATCAGGAACTACTCCAAGTTCATTTATGAACATCATGATCCAGATTGTAACTCTTTGCTACTTCTGAAGTAATCATGTATTATGTTTCTACTATTGAATCAACGGTTGCTTCACGTTTGGAACCTTTCCAACATACCGCTTAAGAGTAAACTAGTTTCTCCATATGAAATCTTCTTAAGATTTCATCTATATAAATTAGGATGAGTTAAACAATCTTCTAGATCTATCTCTATAGATCAAGTTGCTTATCCCATAACGTTCATGAATAAATCCTTTAACAACCATTATTTCAACGATTGAAATATAGGGATGTCGTTTTCTATAATATTAGGAATACGACAATGCTCCCACTACTTCTTGTAAACACACAATTCGTCTTCAAATTTGATAAAATCAGACACTTTGACTTTTTCCATCAAATCGAAGATTTCAGCTCCATAGAGACTTATCTTATCCTATAGTTACGATATGCAACTGTTGCAAATAAAACTCGAATGGACTTCAGCAAGGCCACAGGAGAAAAGTTTCACCAAGGTCAGCACTTAACCTTTGCTTCTAGCCTTGCTTTGTATATATGGATATTCACATCCATAACGACATTTCCCTTGTAAACTATTTACAAAATCTTATAGGTTTTATTCCATCAGAAGGCTCGACCAAGGTCCAAACCTTGTTCACATACGTCGAGTTCATCTCGAGTATCATGGCCACTTGCTGTCTCTTTTAAGTCAACATTTGACTTTATTTTGTTGCAACTAGCAGGTTTATTATCCTGACTCACCAATACCTGATTAATGATCATGAATTCGCACCTTATTGAAGGTCGAATGATCCTACTAGATTCACATAGAGCTGTCACGTCCTCAGGAGTCTTTACTTCCTGATCAAGAGTAGTCCCATATCAGATATGGGATCAAACTCGAATTTATCTACTTAGTTAACTATAACTATGGACTTTTGAACTCTTTCAAGTTTTATTTTGCTCCCACTATCCTCCCCTAGAGTAAATATTTTCTCTAAGAAGATGATATGTCAAGAGATGAAGACTTTCTTCACAATAATAGAATTTATATTGAAATGTCTGTTTTGAATATCCCCACAAATACGTATTTATCAGATTTAGTGTCAAATTTATCCGATTTAAGGCTCTTCAAATAAGCGTTATGACCCAAAACTTCCATATAAGATAAACTTGGACTATTGCCTTTCCATAACTCGTATGGAGTTCTGTTAACCAATTTAGATTGGACATGATTTAGTGTGTTGCACACTGCAATCAATGTATGAACCCAAAATAATTTTGAGAGATTTGCATGGCTTGTCATTAATCGTATTATATCTAATAATTAATGATTCATCTTTTTAGATATACCACTATGCTGCAGTGTATATGGAGGAGTCCACTGCAAGAGAATCTTATTCTCTCTTAGATTAATCTAAATTTTATCTTTAAGAAATTCTCACTCGATCGAATCTTAATGTGAGGGTATCTTTACCTATTTGTTTCTCTACTTCTAATTTGAATCCCTTAAAATTTTTCAAGAGTTTCATGTTCGAGTTTCATCAAGTATACATGATCAT